TGAAGGTGCCCCTCCTCCTGCTCCTGCTAAATTTAGCATCTGCAGCTGTAATCACGGTAGCAAAACGAAGTCTCACACACTCCCACTACTCTCAAATGTGAGGGTACGTGCACAACACTCAGTTTTTCCCAGGTAATCACAAGTGAAATGCACACAGAAAAACATCTATAAAAAGTTCAGAACCTACGAGCACTTTGCAGTGAGCTCCACCAGGATAGAAGCACCTACTCAGGATTAATTATTCTTCTATCATTCTATGTAAACTGAACTAAAGGATTGAGTCCCCATGCAGAACTGTAAAGGTACCAAAAATGGGACACATTTTTTTTCAGAGCTTTGGGTTCTACCCTGAAGTGTGCTCCTAAGTTTCCTAGCTAGATGGGAATATGCATCCAGCACTGTCACTTGGGAAGTAGGAGGTGGCTGTGGTACTTACTGTTTCCCTACTGGACAATTCATAAGGAAAAGTCCTGGAACTGGAGCTGCTGGCCCCAAAGCTGCAAGTTGATCTATGTTCCAGAGGGAAGAGAAACGTGATAGTGACGTAATCAGATGTTTCCTTGATAGGTTCAGGGTATTGTCGCCGCACCATACTGCAGAAGGCCTTGAGAGCAAGTGGAATAGTATTTGCACCAGAATGTCTCGAGATACCACATCGTTTAACTTGCCATTCCTCAGTTCTTCATAAAATGGTTAAGGACATTAAAGTTTAGTTTTCTGCATACCAGTGTCTCAATTTATAATAATTACAATTACTTGCACACACTGTATAAGGAGAGGATCCACCTTACCTACCACTAAAGTGGCACTCACTTGGGTAATACATGGCAGATAATATGCACCAGGAACTCTATTCTTCTGCACATCAGGTGAAGGAGGAGGCTGAGTTGAGGTAAACATTTAGGGAGGCCAAATTGGGTACACCCTGAGTGGGATTTCAACTAGGCACCAGGATAATCCTCTTGCTCTTCAAACTCTGCCACATCTCTACCTGATGTACCCAGCATTTTGCTTTTATTTTTTTTAGAATTGCTGCAAACACACATCTCTCATAACGTATGTAGTAGAAATATATTATCATTGGTTAGGCTCCTTACACTGCTCATGGGATGCTGCCTAGATGTCTAAATAGTGTGAAGAACATATCAAAAGGTAATTTCAACAGATGCTTAAACAGCATTTAATGTCTTACTTTATGTAAAAAGCATTTTAATACCTCAAAAAAGCCTATTTTGGAAAAGCTAAACCATATTTTAACTTAGAGAATAATAATAAAACATTTTACTTATAAGCACTTTCATAGTATGGTACATTGTCATTTATGTAATACAAACAAAACAGGTAAAAGAATGAGAAAGATTAGATCACAGTACACTCACCCCTAATACAACAAGGAGTAAAATTAAATTAAAATATAGTGCTACAGTATGTAAAAGAAGGAAAGCTATTAACCCCCAAAGATATGCCCCCAAACGTTGTTTATATTCTACAACACTACTATTATAGGTAACCAAAAAAGATCTGTATTATCTGTTATGAAATGCACCATTCTAGTACTTCTTTTTAACTTATAAAATGTTTGTGTTAAATAGTTCCTACAAAGCAAGTGCATTAAATAGTATAGTATTGACTACAAGACATTATGAAGAAGTTATTGTATATAGTGTTCTTCATTTCTTTCATTGTCCTTCATTTGCAAATCCAAACTGTATTTATATCTGCCAGAGCTGCTATTAGGCAAAAATGTCACAAGCACAAAGAGCGAAAAAAAGAACATTAAATGAACAAAGAAAAAATCACACACCAAGAATGACAAGAGTGGAAAATCATTTACTGTCCAACAAAACTCGGGCTTCTTTTCCAGAAAACTAAATTCCATTTCGTTATCACCTTAAGAAATGACATTACAGAAAATCTTTAAATTCCTCAATCTGACAAAAATTACTGAAACCAAAGATCTTTTAAGATATTTCATGAATATACATTGAACCATATTTACTTGCTTTTCATGGTTAGGGTATGGTCCAAAGGTTGAAAGAACTTAATCTTTCTAATCTTGAGAAGATGATGAGGGGATCTGATAGTGTTCAAAATCCTCCATGACACTGACTAAATTAACCCAGCAGATGTCTTTAGAAAGAACAGTGAAACACGAACCAGAAGGCTCAAGTGGAAACTACTTTAAAGTGCATTCTAAGATGAGAGCATCAGGAACTTCTTTACCCAAAGGGTTGAGGGAATATAGCCCAACATATCCAGCCAAGATTTTGCACCAAGCCAAGTTGTAAGCACGTTCTTTCAAATAATTATGAGAGTAGGTAAATTAGAGAGAAGATGATATCCTAGTTCCTTTCAAGGAACAGCTGGATGAGATCTTTGGATCAATAAACTACTAATTACAAAACAGGCTAGATGGATCTAATGGCCACTTTTCAATTTTAAACTTTCTTATGTTCTTACTGCATGTCTTTATGAGTTTTCTCCTTGCTAATGTTGATAATGATTTTAATAATGATCAATGGTTAGTTCCTCCAGCATGTCAAAGTTATTAACAAATGTATAGTTTATACTTTGATCTCACAGAAACTTACATCTAGAAAACCTACATTGCAATACTTTCTCCTCCCCTAACCCCCTCTCACCATATTCTGTGAACAGAACCTCACCACTCCTAACCATCTTCCAGCAAATCCACAAAACTGCATCTCGTACTCTAAGTCTCTGCATTGCAGCTTGTGCTTTGTAACCAGCATGGTATTCTCCACTTCACAAAACAGGATTTCACATCAGGAGCAGTTTTCGTGCTCAATTCATGTTGTTCTGCATACTTTTTGCTCAGATACTGCACCTTGCAGCATTTGCAGTGACTGCTTTAGCCCTATCTAAAATATTTTTACAAAACAATACAAAACACTGTGGTAACTAGCTTCTTCATGCTTCTGTTTGGTTTATGTTGCATAATTATATGTAATACCATAAATTATATCATTAAGTGCACACATGGGTTTGAAATAAAACATTTTGGACACAATGTTACAAAAAATATGTCCTAGAAGAGCAACTAGATACGTTCCCAGGATTAAGTGAATGTACTACACAGACAGACTAAAGGAATTCAATCTTTTAAGTCATGAACAGAGAACACTATGAAGGGACCTTGATACAAGTATTCAAAATTATCAAAGGCATTGACAAAGTCAACCCAATGTGCTTCTTCAGGATCAAGAGTGAAACATGAACAAGAGAACACAAATGGAAGTTGTGGGGAAGACGTCTGGAAGTTTAAAACCAAAACAGGCAGCACTTCTCTATGCAAAAGGATTATGAGAGTATGGAACAAGCTGTTATTGAAGTCCGTGTCTTGGCTTCTACTTAAGAAACTGCTGGGTGAGAGATCCTTCTGTCAAACTGCCAAAGAGAAAATTCTTCAATTTTCTGCAATTTTAACTGAAGCTAAACTTTAAGGCCTTGGAGCAATAAGTATTATCAAAGCAATTATAGCCCACTCCCACCAAACCTGCTCAGTACAAGTCACTCTTGTGTTATCTATTGAATGTAACCTATTAAATCTTTCCTCCATAGTCTTTTGGGCTTCAGATATTACTTTCATCCTAGATGTGTTTGTGTTATATTGCTACTGTACACTTACAGCCTTGCTGTTGCTTATAATTCCTACAGGGAATCATTTTGTATTTTTGGACAAAGTGCTTAACACTACGGGCAAACTCAACTGGACTTCAGAAGCTTAAAAAGGTATTAATTTAATTCACATTACTTGTCAAATGTTTAATAGACTATAGTGAATTCTAACATTTTAGACATAAATATATGAAACTGAACAATTAAACTTTGAATTTAAGCTCATAGTTTTGAATAGCTACCACATACAGTAAATTATACTGTAGCTTAAGTGAAGTGAAACTACGTGAATTGGTGAATGGTAACAAAGAACAAACTTTTCAGAATATAATGTACATATATTTTACAATAGGAGAATGTGAGCATTTTGGAAAGGAAAGAAATTCAACTTCAAATTAAAGCAAATTATACATTTTCAGTGTAATTTCATGCAATTTTTTTACGCATTTCAGAATAGCAAATACAGTATACATTAGCAGGAACCAATCACATACCAAAACAGTTAAAGACATACAGGGAGTCACTAATCCATAGAATTTTAACTGTTCTGCTTTCAAGGGAATCGGGATTAAATATTTTGATGCTTGAAGTTTAAAGATTAAAGCGTAAGAGATGTTGCAGTTTATGAAATAAAAAATATTATGGGCAATGAAAAAGTCCTATTTTAAGATTAATCAGTTGGGTTTTCAGAAATGGTAATCAATTATTTTAAATGGTGATGGTTATTAAAATCATTAGATAATTAAAAGTTTTACTGATATTTAAAAACATATTTTTGTTACAATATTAAGACTCAATTACCTGTTCCTTCCTATAAATTACTGTTCAATGTGCTCTTTTATTATGGAAAAAATAACTAAATAGAAAGTAAACTTTTATTTTTTTCTGTATGTTTCAGATATACTCGACATTAAATGTTGCTAATAAGGAAAGTCAGCCTACTGTATGTTTCAAACTAGTTTAGCTACGCCCGCTCTTCCTCTGAACTAGTGTTCAAAATTGGCTTCAGTTCTCGCGCGGATTTGCACTACTGCAGTTAAAGTAGAAAAGCTAATTTAGCTACTGTACTGAAATATAGCATAATCGTCTGAATGTACATGCTTCAAACTTTCCCAGATAATGAATTCAAAATATTCAAAATATTAAAATTCTGATAGAAAAAGATGAGATGAGGACCTGCAATAAGTTTCTTTTCTGCTGTAGAAACGCACTATTTCCACTTTTCTGTTTGTGCGAAAAATGTTATCTGATAATTTTATCAAGGAAGTTATACTTTTGTGACCGGTCAGCTAGAAAAAAAGTCAAATTTACTGAAAGTGAGTAAAGTCTTTACCAGTATGGGAAAAAAAAGGTATTCTTACCTGTTGCTAGAATACTTCTCTTCAGTTAGCTGTCACGATCAGTGACAAGAATCGTCCATTTTTTAAGCATGAACAAGGGGCGTTGCGTTCCACAAGAAAATTGCCTTCTTGTCTCTGCTAATTTCACCTGCGCAACATTAAACTACATACTTGGAAGCACTACTGTCAGAGTCTGTCAAGCTCTGCTGGCGCAGAGATGGTGATGGGCGTGGAAATATTATTGGGGCAGAAAAAAACTGCCTTACTACGTACTGTATAGAAGGGCACTATTTCCATTCTAAGAAATAAACATAAAAGTTACGAACGAGAAGATACCAATTTTTATATCGTATAACCTTTACAAGAAATTAAACCGGGAATGGTTTTTAAAAATAATTTAGTTGAGCGATGGTCGATACAAATAGGGGGGAAAGTACGCTACATTCAATCCTTTAACAATACGTACGCCGGTTTGCAAAACGTGATATTTGAAAAAAAAAAACACGGAGCCATGACATGATGTGTCCATACTCCACATATTCCTTATGACCTTTAGGAAATGTCTGGGATCGGAAAGTGTATGATGTCCTCGATAAGAGTTCGTGGAGAATAAGTTAACTGCTTTTGTATCTGATGATAAGTGTATGTAGTTATCAAGCATATATCAAAAAATATATTGAGGAAGTGGGGTTATTGTAGAAGGTATCGTCTAATTCAACTGCCTTGTTGGTGCGTTCTCATTTTAAAGGCAGCATTCACAGTATGTGATGTACCTCATTTAACAGTGGATCAGCACTGAAGCCTGCATAATGTATAATCACTGACTTAATCATTTAGACGTTTACATGCAAAGCACCCCCCCACACACACACAAACAAAAATGACTATTCGATTATAGTCCACATTAACTTATATTAAATAACATGTAACTATGTAAGAATAAACGTTGAGTAAAATTATTGAGAACCTTATTTGGATGAAACTGTTATCAGTTCAAGGTTGATATGATCTAATCTAGCACAGTGCCTTTGGAAAATATTCACCCCTCATTGATTAATTCTTCTTCTGCTCTGTTGCAAAGTCAAATTAAAGCATTATATTTTTTCTACTCCTGTAGAAGTAATTCTCTCTAATGTTAAAATGAAATAAAGTATTTAAAAAAATAAAAATAAAATTTATATATAAAAAAATAAAAATCTGAAAATTACTTAATTGATAAGAAGAAAAAGAAGAAGAATAGCTTATACTTATATAGCGCTTTTCTGGACACTCCACTCAAAGCGCTTTACAGGTAATGGGGACTCCCCTCCACCACCACCAGTGTGCAGCCCCACCTGGATGATGCAACAGCAGCCATAGTGCGCCAGAACGCTCACCACACACCAGCTCTCAGTGGGGAGGAGAGCAGAGTAATGAAGCCAATTCATAGAGGGAGATTGTTAGGAGGCCATGATTGATAAGGGCCAATGGGAAATTAGGCCAGGACGCCAGGGTTACACCCCTACTCTTTTCGAGAAACACCCTGGGATTTTTAATGACCACAGAGAGTCAGGACCTCAGTTTTACATCTCATCTGAAGGACTGCGCCTGTTTACAGTATAGTGTCCCCGTCACTACACTGGGGCATTAGGACCCACATGAGCCACAGGGTGAGTGCCCCCTGCTGGTCCCACTAACACCTCTTCCAGCAGCAACCTTAGTTTTTCCCAGGAGGTCTCCTATCCAGGTACTGACCTGGCTCACACTTGCTTAGCTTCAATGGGTTGCCAATTGTGAGTTGCAGGGTGATATGACTCCTGGTCATAAGTATTCACCCCTTTTGTTTTAACAACGTAAATTGGGTGAGGTATTAAATTATCTTGAGAGATCACACTAAATACGTTAACAAAGTACACCGGTGTTCATTTTGACTCCACTTGTGTTCAATTACTGGAGTGCACAATAAATATCACTGACTGTGAGGTTTCACAACTGAAATAGCAGAACAGATCAATCCTCCTATCATGAAGACCAAGAAGCTGCTTCAAGATGAGGTTGTTAAGAGGAAAAAAAGCTGGAGAAGGTTATAAAAAGATTGGCAAAGTTTTGAACCTTCCTAGGAGCACCATAAAGTCCATTGTAGCAAAATGGCAGACCATGGGACAACCCAGACACTACAAGAAGGGTAATTGTCAGAGAAGTGACCAAGAGACCAGCTACAACACTGACAGAGCTGCAGAGCTCTTTGGCTGAAATGGGAGAAACTGTCCAGACATCAACAATCTCTTCAGCACTTTACAGATTCAGCCTCTTTGGGAGAGTGGCATGAAGGAAGCCACTTCTGAGAAAGGACAACATTAAGTCATGCCTGGAGTTTGCTAAAAGCCATGTGACAAAACCTGAAACCTTTTGTAAGAAAACTGTGGTCTGATGAGACTAAAGTTGAGCTCTTTGGCCTGAAAGCAAAGCACTGTTTTTGGTGCAAACCAAGTACAGCCCAATACCCAGGTAACGCCATCACTACCGTCAAGCATGGTGGTGGCAGCATCATGCTCTGGGGTTGCTTTTAAGCAGGAGCAACTGGAAAGCTTTTGCCATCAAGGGCAACAAGGATGAAGCTTAATACAGGAAAATCCTTGAGGAGACATTTTTCAGTCAGCAAGAGATCTGCGTTTAGGGTGAAGATTCACTTTCCAGCAGGACAATGACCCAAAGCACATGGCAAAGACTATCAAGGAATGGCTTGGGGAAAAAAATAAGGTAAGTATTCTGAAATGGCCCAGCCAGAGCCCACACTTGAATCCAATTGAAAATCTGTGGTATGACCTGAAAATTGCTGTCCACTAATGCTCTCCATCTAAGAGTTGGAGCAAATTTGCATTGAAGAATGGGCAAAAATTCTACAATGTGCAAAGCTCATACAGACATACCCAAGAAGACTCATGACTGTAATTGCAGCTAAAGGACTATGTAGAAAGTATTGACTTGGGAGTGGGGGGTGAATACTTTTGTAAATGAAAAATGTAAGTCTTTCGTTCTGGAGAAATGAATGTTCTTGAATAGATTGATCTTTTATTCTAAAAAGCCATAATAATGAAGCATGTGAAATAATGAAAAATTACACATTATCCAAGGAAAGTCCATAGGCTTATTTTCAGCTAGCAATAATGCCACACAAATTGATGGGCATGACCATTACGCATTACCATATTTCTGTCATCTGCTGAATCTAGTGGTATACGTTTTTTCATAAAATGAAAATTGTGCATGATATTTGCATTGTTTGCCTGCTAAAGATGGCAGCGAACAAAAACATTATTATAGGACCCGTTGTCACTGCCAGATGGAAGAGCTATGCAAATCTGAGTTTTCATCCACATTTGTGTTTTTTTCATGCAGTCACGGGGTCTCCGATGACTTGTATTGATTCCAAAGATTTTGTTTACTCGCAATTTGAAATTTCTTGACACTTAAACAGTTTAAGCACTGTTTTATTTTTAGGGTTTCTGTTCACTCGTGTAAATATAGGATTTATTATTCCTAATTTTTACTTCTGGTAATTGGTAGGATGCGTCATGCTAGAAGGCATGAAGTCACTCTTCCATCCATCCATCCATTTTCTAACCACTTTATCCAGTACAGAGCCAAGGGGAGCTGGAGCCTATCCAGACAAACAACAGGAGCAAGGCTGGATATATCCTGGATGTGACGTCAGTCCATAAAACGGCACACATAGACAGACTCTCACACTCACACCAGGGACATTTTTCCCAGAAGCCAATTAACTCTCCAGTATGTTTTTGGAATGTGGGAGGTAACCAGGGCAATCAGAGGAAACCCATGCCAACATGGGGAGAACATATAAACTCCATGCAGACAGCACCCCAGTTGCAGAATGAAACCCCAGGTCCCGGAACTGCAAGGCAGCAATGCTAACCACTGCGCGCCCATCACTCTTCCTTTCACAGCAATAAACACAATAACAAATCTTTATGTACATCAATGCTACAGTACATCTGGTGCCAAACATCCACTTTTGCCTTTTGTCTCTCAGTGTTAATGACCCTCCTACATCTATTTCTCTATGTGCATACAAATACACTTTAAGAGAAATGTCAGGAATACTGGTGGTTTCAGGAAAATGGATGTGCCTTATGTGTTAAATATTTTATTTTAAAGCATAGTTCAGGTGGGTAGCTGCATCAGCGTGTGTAGGCTGCAAAGGAACAAGTAATAGGTTTATTCTATGCTGAAAAAAGAAAAAGAGAAGAAGAGAAGAAGAAGAAAGAGAACACAGAAAGAGAAATTTGTCTCTTTTTTCTGTTTTTTCAGCATGGAATAAACCTATTACTTGTTCCTTATTTTAAAACATATTGCCCATGACAAATTATATTCAAGAAAGTGATTCTATGTTATTGCCCTCTCTCTGTCAGGGAACATTTTACCTGCCTTGCCTGAGTCATTAGTGATCAGGAAGTACTGTATTGTGTTAACCTTTTGCTGTTTTTATAAGTGACATTTTTATTAACATAAAATTGTATTTTTAGCTATCTTTTTCAATCTAGTATAGATTAGTATAGTATAGTTTGATAAACAAGGTCAAACGGTGAATAACAGTATTGCCAGCAAGCAGTCCAATATTCCAATAATCAATTATTAGTTACATACAATATTCAATTATTAAATTATTTATAATAGTAATTCAATATTTAATCATTTGATATTGCAATATTCAAATTCTGTTTGCCTTAGCATAAGTTAAGACAAGGTGGAAGGCTTTGAGCCAGGCTTAGTGACAAAGAAACACCCCAAACAATTGTTTAAGGAAATTAAAAATACTTAAAAAACATTTTGAAGTAAATGTGATGTCAGATGCAATGTAGGACAACATCAATGAAATAAAGATCTACTACATTTTACATTTTTATCATTTGTGTCAGAAAGTGCTTCTTGTGGCTCATAGGTAACCCTCAATTGACTAGAACAACAGGAGACTGACTGTATTACATTTGTAATGCTAATATTTACAAAACAACCTTGCCATCTTTTGGATGGTGAGCCTGATTTCAAGTAAAAAATATTTGAAGAAATTGTCTTACAAGACAAGAATTCCAAAGCTAATAGACCTTAATGCTCACCTTTATGGAGACAACCTAGGAAACATTTTTCTGGTTCATATAAATGTTCTAATTAATATTAACAGTAGCAAAA